GGTGGGATATGTGCACTTTCTTTATGTATGTTTTTGTGCACAAAGTACTTTTTAAGTGTGATTTAAAGTTATTATTATTATTATTATTATTATTATTATTATTATTATTAATAATAATAATAATAATAATAATAATAATAATAATAATAATAATAATAATAATAATAATAATAACTTTAAATCACATTTAAAAAGTACTTTGTGCACAAAAACATACATAAAGAAAATGCACATATCCCACCATCCAAGCACACAGTCAAGCTTACATTCTTACATTTGTTCATACATGCACAGACTGCGAGAAAGAATGTGAGAAAGGTTATGGAAACATCTAGAAAAACGAGTTTATAACAGTTTAAGAAAACCTCAGTCAAACTGAAAAGGTGCTACAACCTCAAAAGTGTGGTCACTTCTGGATTTAAAGTAAGAATGTCAAAATGCCCAGATCAGATAAGGTCTCATAGCATCTGCTGCATAAGCAGGAGCTGCACTGTAGGGCTTTTTAAGTAATTATTCAAATTTCTGAAATGTATTCAGAAACTCCCAGAAAAGCAATCGAAGTTTAGCAAGCATGTTAGGCTTAACAGAGATTTACAGTGCACTCAGGAAAGCAATGGTAGGAGCCAGAGGTAACATATATAATGAATTCAGAAGTGTCTCAAGGATTGAACCTTGAGGGACTCCACATAGGAAGGAGCATATAAAGGTGTATAGTTATTACTATCAATTCTAAGGTTTCTGCAGGAGGAAAGCTATTTGGGAGCACTACATAGAATTATGGGGTAGGGCACAACAGAGCCCAAGATATATTGAAAACTGTGACACTGTGTGGTTACCATGAATAAGGTAAGCAGTGGATCTGCGAGGTACCCAGAAGGCAGCATCAATGCTGGTTTCAATCTTGGGCATAAAGTTTGAGATGGGACCCTCCTTGATGTCATCCTCATGATTATGCTTAATCCAGAGATACCTGGCATGAGGAAATATTGTTAGTTAATTTATTTAAAAAAATACAATGTTTCATGTTTTAAATAGTATTTTTAAATCTTCTAATGGTGCTGTGATGATTTGACTAAAGAGTACGGACAGCTTCAAGCAAATTAGTCATCAACATGCCTATCTCTAAAGAAGAAGGTGGAATCCCCGAGAGTGGAAACTGCATCAAAGGTCAAGTCTGCTGCACATTTGTCCCGCATGAGTCGAGGGAATAGTACGCTAGACAACCAGTTGTTACGATGAAAGTTTGTCAGAAGATTATTTAGATGACCTCTGATAGGACCTAACACAGGCAAATATAGATATGTTAATTGGGAAAATTATTTCACACAAAAACTGCATTTGAATTTGAGGATTACTCAGGAATATATCAAAAGTGTTTACTGTAAAGTGCTTTGATGCTGGCTACATCTTCACTGGATAACAGGTTTTCTGAGCGGAAGGGTTTGTAGTTTGGAAACATCAGTGACTCTCGGTTTCTGGAATGCTTCAGACCCAAAGCATGACCAAACTCGTGAGCTGCCACTACAAACAGATTAAAACCTGAAACAGCAAAAAGAGAAGCGCCTTCGTAAAGATGTGATTGATTTCCATCATTCTTTTTTCCTATTTTATTTCTAGTTTGATTGGTTCAGCACCTGTTTCTCCTGCTGTCCAGCGCTCAGCATCATCAAAGTGTGTGTCCCCTCCGATTCCTGACCCCGGACCAAAAGCATGAGCCAGTGTCCTTCCAGGCCCGTCAAATGGAAACAAGTCACCGTGTGCTAAATGATACAATCCAGGCCAAACACGAAACAGAAACCAAAGAGAAAACCATTTTCTTTCATGCCAAAAGAAAATTATAGGCTTCTCTTCACCTCATTTGAATGAGTCAGTTGAGTTTAGCAGCCAGTGCATGATGACACTACCTTGGTTAACAATGAAATTACTACTGCAGTTTCCTATGTGTACAATTGCTGCTCTGTTATATTTGCATAAGACAATAGGATGAGAGCTGCTGAGAATTTCTTTTCTTTCTGTTATATTCCATGACTGCACCGTGTAGAACAAAATACAAACCCACCATAGCTTGCAAACTCCACCATGATGTCAGCAGTGCGAGTGTTTGACCTGACAAACGTCAGACTGCTGGCTCTGGCCCAGACGCTGAAAGCTGACTCTATCAAAGAGTCCACAGTGCTGCGAGGCAAATCTCTGGTGTACCTGCCAATGCTACAAGAGCAACACACGCTGATTAATATCAAACTGCACACGCAATACAAATGTATTGTAGAGAGCACCATCTTTCTAGGCCAATTCTCTATTTCATAACTTCTGAATGTGATCCAGATCTGCAGCAAAAATGAATGGTCTCCCTTTTTCTCCATCCAACTCCTCACCAAGTTTCATACATTGTGTAGTTATTGTGTAAACATCCTGTTAAAGAGTCAAGAGAAGGGCACTCAGGGGGTGCAGTCATCCACTAAAGCCAATGCCCTGTCTCACTGTTTTAAAGAGAGAGCCATGCTACAGTTAGGTTATTCCTGCAAGGTTTTGTGAAATAAACATTTCTGTGGTACCAAAACATGATACTAACTTGAATAAAGTCTCTTTTTTAATAACAACAAAAACAATTGTCTTTCTTTGTTACTCTTTAATTATACATTTACTCAGTATGTAATCCAGCAGGCATGCCTCAAAAGGAATCTGCACAGGAATGTATAAGGATGTCTCAGACAGTGTTACATAAGTTAAAGCATGTATGGTCAGCTTGGCACTATAACAAGCCCACAGTAACTCTCAAAGCCAGAAGTCCCAAACCAAAAGCCATAAGGATTTGTGACAGTGGCTATTCTCCGTTTCTGCCAAAGGGTTTATTGTCTTCTTAAAATGATCCTCACATATTTCTGAGGTTTGGTGAAGACAGCCAGACAGTTTTGTTTTTTTTATTTCCCCCCTGAGTTCATTCAAGGTTAGACATGCCCACTATATAACATTCATTTCCAGATAGTTTTCATTACGCATGATCATTAAGCATCAGTGAAGACCACAGTAAATACCTGTAGGTGATGACATTCTTATTCCAGCGCGTCCTCTGGGTGTGGCTGTACTCCTCCACGTCTGGAACGCCACATCGAGGACTCCTCATCACCTCCAGGGTATCCGAGTCCAGTCTTCCCGACACATTCAGCCCAAAGAAAATTTGCATGTCTTTCACCTTGGAGGTAAAAGAGGGGCCGCTTCGTTTCATGCGCCCCAGAGGATCATTTTGTAGGTGGTAATAGTGCTGGAGATAGTCCTTAAAGTAGATTTAAGATCAGATCACATCAGATAGCATTTTGCACAGAAGAGGGTTTGATTCACTCAACAAAAAAACAGATTCTGCACCTTTAATAAACAGAAAGCAATCATTTTAAATAAAATGCAACAGAAATATATAAAATCAAACGTTTATTAATTCCAATAATTAAACATTAAGAAAAATGTGGTTGGCGTAAACTGACTGAATAGTGGAGTAATTTAATTAGCTAAAGTCAGAATTTTGGATGTAGAATTCTTAATTTTAACCTAGTTACTGCAAAACGTTATTCTTGTATCACAACACACATTACAGATTATGAACTGCTATAAAAAGTCTGACTGATCTATCATGGCTTCAACATAAATGCCCTTATTTTCAGCATCAACTATCAATTACACTTGCATAAAAAGCCGGCACAAGATGGAACAAAGACAAGCAACTTGCTTCAAAGGAAAAGACAAAAAAATAGATGTAAGGAATTAAATCAGGATGAAGAATGTGAAAATGGGGATACCAAGCAAATCTTTTAAAGGATATAATATAACAGCATCAAGGGCTGAGAGGGCAGTGCAGTTGTGTACCTCCACCCTCCACCCACATAAAAACAAATGTAATAAAAGAAAATATCCTAAAATACGCACAGGAAATAATGCATCCTTCCAAATTCTTTAACCCTGCAGTAAAATCACTGACAATTTAGCATGACTTTGCATCGTACAAGACATCAATTCACATGCAGTCCACTCTGAAAACATTTGTAAAAGGAGCTTGTGCAATTATACACTTACTGTGGCCAGCTTCAAGTCAGCCTGTGGTTCTGGTGTAGGAGTACTTTCTTCCTTCGGTGTAAATGTGGGTGCCGTAAAACCTGGACCGGGCACAAGCAAGACCAGAACACAGCAGGAGAGCAGCATGACATGCATTTCACAGAATTAACGCTGCAGTGAATTGCAGTGGCCTAGTTTAAGCATGTGGAGATGGAAGTTCTGGTTAATGAGAAAGCCTTTTAAATGGTTATTGTGACTCATACCACTTGCAAATCCCAGGGAAGCCTCTGACAGCACTACAGAATTAGGGAGGAGTTTGGAAAGGGCCAAGGACAGAAAAAATGACATTTGGACATTTTTGTCACATGACACGTTTGCACCAATGATGGTTTAAATCAAATAAAGAGCAGTGCACATTTCCAATTTCAAAATCTTGTTTCAGTTCAGCACATATGTGAAACCAGAGTTTCACAGAAAACGGAGTTTTTAACTTGCAACACGCTGGTTCACAGATAATCCTGAATCAATGGTGAAACTACAACATGAGGCAACATAGAGTAGAACATTCCTCACTATGTGCTCATTGCCATCACTATGAATGGGCATGGCATAAACATGTTTATATTTACAGCATTAATAACTAAGCAGTGATAGAGTAATAGTGATGGAGCTTCTGTAGAGAAATCTCAGCTTAAACTCCTTCCAGAGTGATGCAACACGTCCCACGCGTTTTAGGACTCCTAAAATAACCCCATCGAGGCCAGCTCTCGTCCCCATTTTAGCAAATGCATGTCACAACTCTGAATGAGAGAGTTCACAGAACAGGAGCCTAAATTGAGAGGGAGGGGATTAAGGCCTCATTGGGAATCACCCAGGGTGCTTAAACTGGCAAAGGTGGTGCTGTGGTACTTTCAGGCTACAATTAAGGTTGATTGGTCATTGTGGAGCGTTATGGGGCCAACTTCAGCGGATCTTTACAGCGTAGCACACACTGTTTTGCGGAAAGAAAGGAAGATTTTTGTTTTAAAACATTTATTTTGGGGGTTTTCTGTCTATATTTGACAGTTCAGCAGTCAAGAGTAGATAAGAAAGAGAGGAGGAGGAGACACACAGCAAAGGGCCCCAGATTGAATTCAAAACCAGGCTGCTGCACATCATCAATATGCACACATAATCCCAATCCTAACCAGTGAGATAAACTGGAATCCAAAAGAAAGGAAGATTTTGTGATCCAAGCAGAAAAGAGGAGGCACTAACATCATTTTAAAGCAGCCACGATGAAAGAGGTCACAGGCAGCAGCTGCAAGGTTACAAGCTGATTGGGATCACAAGTAGGATCAATCCAGTTTGTTATGGGTTTAAGAATTATCTTCTCCTTCCCCTCTACCCCAAATGGTTGCTTCAGATAGCTGTCCCTCCCTGAGAGGGGCTCTGCTGAGTTTTCTTCCTGTTAAATGGCAGTTTTTCCTTCCCACTCTCACAAAGTGCTTGCTTGCTTGCCAAGGATACAGCAGGGTTTTTACCTTGAGGTGACTTGATGTGATTTGGTGCTATTTAAATGTTTTATTGTTTTATTAAAAATAATAATAATCTAATTTTATTTCCCCTCTGTCTTGTTATTTTGCTTTGAGTTCAGCATTAAAGCTGATTTTCTTTAGATGTTTGGGTCCACATCCTGCTTGCTACACAGCCAGATGTGACAAAACCTGAAAACTGAGTTAAAAAGTATAAAACCTGAAAGTTACAAAACTTTGAACACCTGACAGATGAGTTTACAGTAAGGCACTGTCAATAACAAGGGTTGTTACAATATCACAGATTATCAATACACAACTTCAATGACCAAATGAATTCAAAATAATATTTTTACCATAATTTAAAGGAAAATGTTTATTGTGTTGCTTGTCAATCACAAACTTCAAACGAATGATTAAAATTGTTATTGTAACTGAATCATGTCCGTATTTATTATATATTTTTTTCAATAAAAAGGCTTCAGTGTTTCAGTTTTAAAAATGAGAAAATACAGAATTGAGACCACACTGCAACAAACTGCCCCTTTGAAGTCAGTCAATGTAAAATTGGAGGCAAAGAGCTCCTACTTTGGCTCCCCCTAGTGGTGGTATAACAATGTAATGGAATGCGCTGCATCCTTCCACACATGTAAGATGTTCGATGAGAGAGATGAAGATAGCAAATGTTGTTAATAAATGTCTGTTTTCAACAAAGATAACACTGTAGAAAGATCAGATCAGTACAAATTTTAACAAACAAAGCGTTCAAGCTCCTGATTATAGTTTCTGCTGCCCCCCTGTGGTGTCCTGCAGTACATTCATCCATGTTTTCAGTCGGTCACAGAGTTCAGATTCTATACTTGAGCAGAGCACCATGATTTATGAAGTGTCATCATTAATCTGAATAAATGTTCATGGCAGCTAAATGACTGACACTTTCTGCAGTTAACTGCATTAACAAAACAAATCACACTTTTCCCAGTTTTGCACACACTTTAAAACAGTCTTTATTTTAATTAATTTTACTTTTATTTATTTATCCATCCGTCTGTTCTCATCTCATATCAGGGTTATCTTTGCTGATCCGGAACGTAAACGCCTTTATCTAGATAGAACTTTGGTTTGGACTCTTCTAGTTAACACAAAAGGGTTGTTGTTATATTTAGACACCTTTGTACTTCATGTTTGAGGTACTTTTTTTTTTTCAGTTCCACTCCAACAATTCACTGAACACATTTCAGTGGGCTGTCATATATTTATAGATTTCACTGTCTGAATATAATCTGTAGGTAATCAAAGTGCTAAAGTAACAACGATGACTAACAATTTAATTAATGGTGATTAATGCTAAACATCCAGCATGAGTCATACATGAGCTACCCCTACCCGGATATCCTTAGGACAGAATTGGGTCTGTCACTTCTCACTTAGTTTGTTTTGTTGCTTGTCGTGTGTGCGTGTGTGTGTGTGTGTGTGTGTGTGTGTGTGTGTGTGTGGACGGGTATTACCGTCATTGTGATGAGTTTGAAGGCATTTTTGAGACTTGAAATGTGGTTTAGTGTCAGGGTTACAATGAGGTTATGGTTAGGTTTAGGGTCAGGGTTAGGCATTCATTTTTGATGGTTAGGGTAAGCAGCTATGGAAAGCATTATGTCAATAAGGCTACGTTCTCACTCCACACGAAAGCGCATCAAATCCGACTTTTTTGACCCAATGTGACCCATATCCGATCATGGTATGACAGTGTGAACAGCACAAATCCGATATTAACAAATCCGATCTGGGTCACTTTCGTATGTGGTACTGAATTCGATACATATCTGATGTTTTAGAAAGCGACTGCTGTTTAAATGGTGGTGTCGCATTAAATCCGTCTTTTACGTCACCGACACAAGACAAACGCAAATTATCAGCGCCAGAGAAGCCCCGTGAAGACTGTCCTGTCCATCCCGTGTAGATGTTAGTGAAACTGTTGGTAAGACAACGTGAACATTTTATTTGTACTGTATAATCTGCAGATTCTGACCGAAATCTGCAACTATCCTTTGAAGCACCGCTCTTCTAAAACAGCAATAAGGATCATTATTAGAACGTAATGTCCGAAACAAGTCTTTATATTAAGGGCCATCAGTCAAACAATACTGTTTGGTCTGGGTCTGAACAGAGCGTGTTGTGTGTGACGTCTTCTTTTGCGCATGCTAGCTGCTTTGAGGGTTCACACAGGAGCACGTTTGCTGTCACATTTTATTTAGTGTGAACAAGCAGACAAAAAAATCGAATTTGATCAAAAAATCGGAATTGAGCATTAAGACCTGCAGTGTGAACGTAGCCCAAGATGTGCACAAGGATATAAAAACACATATATGTATGGGTGGAGTGGGGTGCTTTTCCTTGTATCATTTTATGTGTTTATATGTTTACATAAATTTTCCTGCCACACAAATGATTTTTGCTTGATTTCCATTTCCACAGGATGCAGCCTCTCACTCCAGCCTACGTTTAATTTTGTCTCAAAGGGTTACAAATAAGTGTGACATGATGCACAACTATAAACTAACATCTACGCATTCGTGCAACGATTTCTGCTATTGAGTACTCACGACTGCGTACTCACTTTGAACACATGTCAAGCTAAAAAACTATTTTATAAGTACTTCTTGTTCACCTGCAGAACATTAAACACACGTGTCAGATAGAGCGCATCATATCTGTACACAGGGTTTTGTGACTGTTCACGCTGCCGGCTTCGCATAGATCCACACATGCAAGATGCAAGCGCTAATAGAAAAGCGGAACTAGACCTTTTTCTGTGTTCATGTTCTTTGTTTGTTATGGGGTTAGTTTTTTTTGTTTGTTTTTTTTTTTACTTTTTTTGCCTAAATTCACACGTCTTCTTACACAACTCTGTGGCTCATCCTCTGCAGGGAGTATGTGCTAACTAACCTCTTGTATATTTTGTAAATGGATGTAATGTGTGATGAAAGCATCTCACACTTGAACACTGATGTCCAATTTGCTATTCTCTGATAACATCAGATTAACATTACTGTGAATCTGGAACTATTTTGCCTTCTGAAAACATTTTTTTTCACTAACAGCTAACATAAGGCCAGATAATTAGCTCATATACGTAGCTTTCAGTGACTGGTCCTAACAACACAGCAGTTACCATATGAGTACAAATAGAATAACACAAAGGTGCTCTTCAGCCTTAGGCTGCTACATCCCCTCTCGCTGCCAGTAGGCATACTTGTTGGTTTATCCTTTCCTTGAAATTCCACCAAAACACATAAAACCCACACTGGTTAGCCTAGAAATGGCCAAGAAAAGGATCAAGAAAATCTGTAGGCATCAACAATTGGGTAAATATTTCCTCATTCCACATGCCAGTGACCTGTTTGTGAAAGCTGGACTTCATTTATCATAAATCTGACTCTTAAAGTGAACATTTGTACAAAAGTTATTTCTCATTCCTGACTTTTTCTTTCTTCTTTTCTTTAAATCTCTTTTCTTTTTTCTTTTTTTTACAAACTCGCATATGTAACATTTATTTGTTACTATTTTTATTATCATTTCTACCTCACACTTAGCCCTGTGTCAGACAGTTTAACTTTGTAATGCTCAAAGTTTATAACATTAAGT